GACCCTATGATTTTGTTTGGCTGGTTTCGGCAACTACCTTATCTAAGATACTTTCTTTTAGAAAATCTGTTTTTGAAAGGTTGTCCTTATGGTATTTTTTGCTTTATGCATGGTTCGGCAAGCCAGGTTTTTTTGATGCAGGGGATCTAGAACAGTTTAGGCATTTGAGATGCATATCCACATCTTGTGTGTCCTGAGAAGCTTCCTGTGCACCCTCGCTTCGCCTCTGAACGCCTTCTCCAGAGAACTCTGCAGACTGTGCATTTGACGGAGTTATCTCAGATTCTGCCTCACTTTTCGGGTGTGCAGACTCAGAATGTTCTACAGCCGTACTTATATCTATCTGTGCTCCAAGACTTATGTGATTTGTTTATTTATATTATGCGACACCGACCCACACAGGGTGGTAGCAAGGCGTTGCATAGCCTTCCCACAGCCTTCTCGATCATGTCCGCAATTGATAGGGAAATGATGCTTTCATTGCTATGTTATAAAGGGCAGCTGCTCCTGCGTACCCTTGAGTTTTGGCTCTAATTTCAGCAATGGAATACTTTCGGGACGTCCTGAATAAGTACGTCCACTCCTGCGAGAAATGCTCTTATCGCACAATCTCTTCCCGTGAGAGTGCACCACGCAGAACTGATGATGCTTGCCGATATTGCGCGCGCGCGCCGGCTATCGCTATCACGGCCTTGATTAGAATCAAAGGCTGCTGCTTGCCTTCCCCTCGTCTTTTCGTGCTCGTTCAAGACGAGTGGCAGGTCTCCTCTCTGCATTCGACGGCAAACAGTGGAACGCTGACGCGTGCGCCTTCCGAGCGACGGAGATTGTTTAATTTTTGCTTGAGCAGTGCTCGTCACCCCAGCTTGCGCAATTTTACGTGCAGGTTGAACGTACGATGCGACAGGCATGGTACTAACTTGCATTTGACGGGGAACATGGCGGCGAAGGCGAAAACCCGTCGATTGTCCATATAATGTCGGATTCATAAGTTTTGAACCCTGCAATGAATAACGTAGCACATCAAAGTACGTCTATAGCTATTACTGATGGCAGCACTGTCATAACAGACTCAAATGCACTGGCAGAAAAATTTATTAGTTATTTCACTGACGTCATAACAGAGCTTACCTCAAAACAAAAACCTGCCAACTTTCAACAGAATGATGATTTACCTATAATTGAGCATCAAAGCAGCTCCTTTTATGTGGCACCTACTGATCCTACTGAGGTCCGCAGTGCTGTACAAGCGTTAAACAATACAAATTCTGTAGGACACCATGACTTACCTGTAGCCCTGTTGAAACACTCAGGGAGTTTTATCGCAGAGCCCTTAGACAGCATCACAAACACAGCGTTTTCTACTGGTGTTTTTCCAACAGCCTTGAAAGTTGGCAAAGTAATACCGGTGTTTAAAAACAAAACTACTCGTGGAGGATTACCGGCCCATTAGTTTGCTTTCACCTCTAAGGTAATCGAGAAATTACTTATTAAGCTAATCAGCTTTTACTTTGAAACAACAGACATTTATCAAGCGCACAGTATGGCTACATTAAAGCCAAAAGTACAGAACTGGCCTTTCTTACCCTAACGGAAAAAAATAGGCAAAATATTGAATATAAGCTCCTCAATATAGGCATATTTATAGACTTGACAAAAGCATTCGATGTTCATAATCACGAGCAACTGCTATCAAAACTAGAGGACTATGGTGTTCAAGGCACTCCTAATAAGCCAATAAAAGGCTGTCTTACGAATAGGCAACAGTATGTGTGTATCAATGCACGAAATTCTGATAAAAACCCCGTAAGCTCAGGTGTCCCGCAGGGGTCAATATTAGGGTCCTTTTTGTTCATTGTCTTTATAAATGATCTCCCTTCGCACATACAGGAAGAAAGTGTCCTATACGCAGACGACACAAATATCTTCATAGCGGCCAAGACTGAAAAAGATGTATGGCAAAATGCTCATTGCACTCTCAATAGGCTCTCTTACTGGTTACACACAAATGAAGTATTTCCAAATCTTTCTAAAAGTACTTTTATAATTTTCTCTTCCAAAAATGCGCCACTCAGAAACGACGGAAAATTGCTTTTTAATGAAGTTTCTCTAAATAATGTAAGTGAAAAAAATTTTTAGACTTAGTCATAGATAAACATCTGACGTGGCACAGTCATGTGCAAGATGTAACTACGAAAATTTACAAAAATGTGCCATTATTTTATAGGCTACGATATCTGTTTCTACTACGCACCATTCTGATTCTTTACCGTAGTTTTGTTGAACCACATGTGCCATACTGTATTTCAGTCTATGGTCTCGCATATCCAACAACATTAAAGCCTATTCAGGTAGCTCAAAATACTGCTTTGCGAATAATTTGTTTTTGCCGGCGAACTGAATCTATTTGTTTATCCCTTATTAAATATTTTACCGCTGCATGATAGCATTCTTTTCCGCAATGGTATTGTTACGTACAAGTTTCTCAGAAATACTATAAACAGTCCGTCAGTTAAATTTCATCAACACCTCACGCATTATCCAACAATTTCCTCTTCATTAATGCTGTTAACAATATCACGAGCACGCACAAACTGTGGGGCATTTTTTTTTTTATAAATGCTGCAGCCAGTCTTCGGAATACCCTTTCTACAGAAATCACTTCTTCATCAATTCAGCATTTTTCTAACACACTGTGCCAGTACTTTCTGTACAATTTCTAAAAAAACACAACTTTTTTTGCTTTCGAGTTTTCGTACCGTTTAGCCTTTTGTTGTTTTTGTTTTGTTCTTATCTTATTTTCTTTTATGTTGTGAATTGTTTCATTTTACTCGCTGTATGACGATTTGTTCTGTTTCGCATACACTTAGGTATAGGATATAGGATATTTTTAGACATTTTCTCTTATATATATATATATATATATATATATATATATGTATATATATATTATATATATATATATATATATATATATAGATTATATATATATATGTATATATATATATATATATATATATATATATATATATATATATATATATATATATATATATATATATATATATATATATATAGTCCAGTAGATCCTCCGTGAGCGGTCACAACGTGGTTTATTTCGACGTTTCGGCCTAGAGTCTGGCCTTCATCAGGATTAAAGATACAGTTTGTTGGTGCTCAGCTTTATACAATCTCAAATCAGAGGGCAAGGAAAGAGGAAAAAAAGACAGAAAAGAAAAAAAGGGAAAAAAGAAAAAGGAACGAAAAAGAAGAAAAAAGAGAAGAAGAAGAGAAAACGGTGGACCCCCCTCGGGCGCCCCCCTTCCACTCTTCCCTCCACTTCCCCCTTCATCTCTCTCCCCCTTCTCCCCTTCACCTTTCTGATGTCAGCGGTCTGTGTGTTTCCTTTCACTAACGCATTCCTCCCAATCAGACGGCGCCTCCTGGCACTGGCGGTTCGGTGTGGGGCGAAGGTGAAGGGAAGAAGGGGGAGAGAGATGAAGGAGGAGGTGGAGGGAAGAGTGGAGGGGGGAAGTGGAAGGAAGAGTGGAAGGGGGCGCCCGAGGGGAGTCCACCGTATATTATTTTTCTCTTCCTTTTCTCTTTTTTCTTCTTTTTCTTTCCTTTTTCTTTTTTTCTTTTTTCCCTTTTTTTCTTTTCTGTCTTTTTTTCCTCTTTCCTTGTCCTCTGATTTGAGATTGTATAAAGCTGAGCACCAACAAACTGCACCTTTAATCCTGATGAAGGCCAGACTCTAGGCGGAAACGCCGAAATAAACCACGTTGTGACCGCTCACGGAGGATCTACTGGACTATATGCAACGCTACGGCCACTCTACCACCATGCCTGCCTATATATATATATATATATATATATATATATATATATATATATATATATATATATATATATATATATATATATATATATATATATATATATATATATATATATTACATACTGCATAGCTTCTAGTTTCGTTTTGCACATTGAATTATTTGTGTTGTTCAGTATACACCTGTATAGAACTCTTGTACATGGATTGAAATAACATTATTTGTCATGGGGACCCCTTCCACAACTCGTGCTGAGTTCTGGGGTCCTAACTGTATGAATATTACCCATTGTACTTCATTTTTGTTACGAATATTAACGATAAATTGACTGAGTGAATTGACCGTATTCCCATCACAAAAAAGAAGATCCACTTAATCACATAGCAATAGTAGCGCGGCGAGCGCATCTAAATTTCCTCGTGGTTCTCATGTCGGCTGTGGTACTTTAATGACCGAGCGTAAGTTATTTACATTTTTTTACAGAGCCGTATTGGTTTAGTATGAAGGAAACCTTCATTGAATAGCTCCTCTCTGGTCTTGAGTTGTTGTTCATGTTGGATGCGATGTTTGAATCACGTTTGAATATTGTAACATTTTAACATTAATTTTTTTATTCGTTCGAGGTCTAGTAGCTGTCCATAACGCCGCTTATGTTTTTCTTTGAGTTGATGTGCTTTCACTTTTGATGTTGTAAGGTTTAATATACAATAATTTTGGGTAAGTCTGGCCGCTTGATCGGCATTGCATACTTACTAAAAACCACTGATATGTATTTTGTTTACAAGAAAGCAAAAATTTTGATACGCAAAAACTGCTCCAGAACTAAATTTTGATGCTCCAAAACACACCTCTTGCTGCTCCAGAGATGCTCCAAAACTCCATTTTTACTGGTTCAAAGCTGCTCCAGAACCACACTATTCGTGCTCCCAAAGCTGCTTCAAAATACTAAAGCCTGCTTCCACCCCTTCACAAGGGTCTTGTCCCCTTTTCTCGTTCTTTTGATTTAGTGTGCAGCGGTGGGCACCGGAGAGAGTTGCGTGCTTATTGTTTAAAAACTTCCATTAAACGCGTACATTTGTTTGACCTGATTGAGAGCCCGCAGTTGTGCTCTACGGTTTCGTTCTTGAATAATAAAAACAAGATGCCTATCTTCTTGCAGTCGCGATGACGTCGCAACCCACCAACGAATCGGAGCTGCAGTTGTACAGGGTCCTCCAGCGAGCCAATCTACTCTCATACTACGACACCTTTATTTGTCAAGGTAAGCCACTCACTCACCACTGCTCCACACATTGTGTAGTGCCGTGAGTCTCGCGTTTTATCCGTAAGCGGCAGCTGGCGTTGCGTCTGTACGTGCTACATATGTCCCTCCCCCTCCCAATTCAGAATAGGGGGGGGGGGGGACCGCATGTTTGTCGCGTCATTTTTTACAGAGTGGATAGTGGCCAAGCATGTTTCTCACCCATCAAGTGTGAGTAAGCGCGAACAGACAAAGACGTAGAAGAGTACTCACACAGACACAGCGCTAATTCCTTCTGGTCTTTTCTTTTCGCACGAACCGATAAATATATACCGAGCGAGCGGTAAATAACATGAACAGAAAAAACATCTCGCAGAATCACATCGTTGAACCAAGCAGGTGTGCATTGCATTGTCACGACATAGTGCAGATTCCATGTCACTGTGTCAAACCAAGCTATTAAAGCTCTTTTTGAGAAAGCGATACTGATGGTTGGCTAACGCACACGTCTGATTATTTTGCAATTTCATATACCTCCATAATCTCCCTTGTAATTTTACCAGGTGCCTTAAATAGATTACCATTTTTTTTCAACAGGGACTTGCATTCACAATTTCGGAAATTAATACCCAGATGACCTGATATTGCATTCGTGAAATTATAATGATGCTCTTTCATTCTCTGATTGATACATCGCCTGGTCTCACCAACGTAGTTCTTTCCAAAGGAAAGCGGAACAGCATAAACAACCTTGCGAACACGGATTACAAAAAAAAAAAAAAATTGACAGATTGCACGTATGATGGGAATCGATGATATGCAAAGCACGAATGACAAAGTTTGGTATGACACTTTAAAATCAGCACAAACTTACGAGGTGGGGGTAAATGAAGTCGTACATGACTTTTGTGTCATGTTTATCATGTAGAGAAGTGTCATTTACCTTCATCTATTCACGTCACGTGATACCCAACTCAGTACATGTGGAGCCAGTGAAACGCCCGCGAGCACATTATGAGCGTGGTACATTGTCATGTTCTTACATAACACGCGTGTCAGGATTATCATGTTTGCACTAGTCATATACTGCGTCATGCATTCACGTCCCGTATTTACCAAATTTGGCATAAGTGATGCTAGCGAAACGGCCGCGAGCGCATTATGAGCGCAGCATATAGTCATGTTGTTACATGACACGCATCTCATGTTTATCATTTTTTCACCAGTATCATACCTTCGTCCTCCATTCACGTCCCGTAATACTAGATTTGGTATACCTGAATCTAGCAAAACGGCCACGAGCACATCGTAGGCATGGCAGGTTGTCATGTTTTACATGACATGCATGCCATGATTTTCATGTTACGTTCTGTCGCTTGTGTTCGCCATGCAATCATGTCATACCATACCAGTTTTGCAACATGCCATGTGAACGAAACCACCGCAAGAGCTGCTGGACTATGAAATGTAAATCATTACATTCGTGACATACATGTCATAATTTTCTCAATATGACTAATCGAATATGTTCTTTATACAGTCATGTTATGCCATACCAAGTTTAGTATCGATATCAATAGTGAAACGACCAGGAGAGCTAAAAGTCGTAGGCGGATAGATAGCCAGATAGATAGATAGATAGATAGATAGATAGATAGATAGATAGATAGATAGATAGATAGATAGATAGATAGATAGATAGATAGATAGATAGATAGATAGATAGATAGATAGATAGATAGATAGATAGATAGACAGACAGACAGACAGACAGACAGACAGACAGACAGACAGACAGACAGACAGACAGACAGACAGACAGACAGACACAGACAGACAGATAGATAGATAGATAGATAGATAGATAGATAGATAGATAGATAGATAGATAGATAGATAGATAGATAGATAGATAGATAGATAGATAGATAGATAGATAGACAGATAGATAGATAGACAGATAGATAGATAGATAGATAGATAGATAGATAGATAGATAGATAGATAGACAGACGGACGGACGGACGGACGGACGGACGGACGGACGGACAGACAGACAGACAGACAGACAGACAGACAGACAGACGATGAAACAACAAATTCTGCGAGAGCATCACTTAGCCTTAGGGCAACGCCTCTGCTTGTGAAAACAATGAAAATGACTTCCTCTGCTTGAAAATGCAGTGTATGTAGTTTTCATGCTTTACAAACGCACGCGTCCTGTAGACATGTTTCGCAATGCACAATGGAATATTGCAGTAATAATGCGTGGCACTAGCGCTCATTGCCAACGGGCGTCAGAATATGTAATCACCATACTGGATCCGTGGTTTAAAACCGGCACCCCACTGCATAAGGCTCTCACGCTACTGGGCTTATTCTCTTAAAGCCACGTAGTGGGCGCAGAGCGAACTAGCTCAGTCCGACCTCTCTGCCTTCTAATAAATTATCTCTCTCTCTCTCTCTCTCTCTCTCTCGAAAAGGTTTCACGCACAAAGTGTTTGAAGTACGCACTAGGAACAGGATGTCGTTACCTAATCGAAGCTTTGGGATCTACTCATTTTTGCTCCTTAACTTGGGCGGCGCACAACCATACCCACATTTCTCTGTATGAAGGCACATATACACTCGGGAAAATTGGCCAAGAAAACGTCGTGTAACCTTTCAGTAAGATCTATATTACTGCTTGTTAATATTCTATAACTAGAATAAAAAATAAATTTGTAATATAGTATCCTAAAAACAGAAACAGAGAGACAGAGATAGAAAATGAAAGAACCTGAGAAAGTGAAATTGTGAAGCTTTGAGCTCACCAAACGGCTGAGTTTTTTTGCTTGATCCTTTCTTTTGTGGCTCTCACCCACCAAGGGGGACGGGCCAAGAAGCCGGTGGGTAATGCAAGTCAATACCTTTAGGTTTTCTAGACTAGGGGAATAGGATTACTTTGTTTTGACAGTGAAACTAATTTGGCGCAATGTAAAAAAAAAGGGGGGGGGGGGGAGGAGAGAGATAATAGAATTTGTTGAATGTCTGAGGTGTCATTGTTATACGAAATTCTTCTGAAGGTTAAATCATTGCAGTGTAACAGTTAAATAATAAATGATAGATTGGCTAGTAATATTCGAGAGCTGATCACTGACTCAGCAGGGTAATCTTCTTGTGTTATATAGGGATTCGCAGAGAGCCCCGCAGATGTTCTTGTCGCTGTGTCCCAATGAAGTGGCCCAAAAGACAAAATATTAGGAGTAGTAAGTGATATTCCTAGTTTTTTTGATAAAATTTTGAAGCATTTTTTTTTAAACGGTTACATGTGATAAGAAAATGGTCCTTATGTTCAGGTTCGTTACAACTTGAGCACAGAGGGGTTGGCACCAGACCAGACCTGTTTAAGTAGAAATTGAGAGGTGGTACGTGGCAAAGTAATTTTTAATAGAGACTTCCAATTTACACGTGGGACACCATTTATTATTTCATGGGAAGTGCAGGTGCGAGAAATCTGGATTTGATATCGTAATTTTTTATGAGTCTTCAAGGAGGGAATGTTTTCTAAACCTCGCTTCTGTTGCATAAGCTGTAGGAGGCATGATTGGCACAATCGGGAGATCAAGGGATGTTCGCGCGAGTGAGTCGGCCATCTCGTTTATAAATATACTATGATGGCCTGGCACCCATATCATTCGCACTAGACGAATGTTTCCTGGGATTAATGATTTAAAAGCTTATAGTACTGCTGATGTCGACGACGATGATAAAAGTGAACACACGGAATACGAGTCAGTCACTATCACAGCTGTCGAATGAGTCGCACGAAGTTTACGAATAGCTAGTATAACAGCCGTTAATTCCGCTTCAAATATTGGTGTATAATCTGGAAGGCGTAATGAAAATGACCAGAATAATGAGAGAGAAAAAATACCCACACGTGCCTTGTCGCCACTCATAGATGCATTCGTTGCAATTACTATATTACCACCTAATTGAGGCAAGTGTTGTTCTAATAAGCCAATGAAATATTTTGAGGGCAAATGTTTAGCATTCATTGGGAAGATATCGTCAAATTCTATTTGCACTGAGCCGATTGGTTTGTCGGATGGTGTGATCTCGAATATATTATCATTTAAAGAAGTGTTTGAACGAATAGCACTTGTGCTTTATATACACGGGATCAATGATCATTGAAAAAGACACCAGGCTCCGCAAAGAATACAAAGTGTCGCCTTGTTAAAGTGTATTCAGAAAACTTTCAATAGGTTTTGACTGTTAAAACATGGAATCTGCAAGCTAGAGTGGGTATTGGAGCTTCTTGATAGCTGTGAACATTGTTAGCTGTGAATTTTCGCACACCTAAACAACTTCGAAGAGCTTCCCGCTCCAAGAAAATCTAGGGGTTTATTTTGTGTGCTGGTCCACCAGAGAATAGTACACATCCGAATTCAAGAATCGGACGAACGTATATGCGATAAATCGTCATCAACGTATCTCTGCGAAGACCGGAACGGAGGCGGCCAAGCCTACCTATCATCCTATCAGCGCGTGTAGGCTTAATTTTATGTGCCACACTCTTCTTCTTCTGATGGTGCATCATAAAGAGTCAAACGTGGTAGTGTGGATTCTGCTTAAGAGAAGGGAAATGAAATTAGAACATTGGCGTGGGCGTATCAAATCATTCATTCACAAAGCGTTATTTGGTTTCTGAATTGCGGTAGTTATAGAATAAACCACCGGCTCTATGAGACCGTAGTGAGTAAGAGCCAAAACAAGGGCGTAGTAAGTAAGTAAACTGCTCTGTGTTTTCTGAAGCATGCCTCAAATTGCTACATTTATTGGTGACCCAGACTACGAATGCGACCTTCACTATAGGGCAGCGTGAAAAACCAGACGGCCTCAAACCTTGCCCTATATACTCCTATTGCGGAGGTGCCTTGTGCGAGTCGTTAGCACCACAACGCTACGCCAACTATGACTTGTGGATACCGCTTACGGTTCATTGAAGCTGATAACAAGTTTCGCTCTCGCCGCAT